TGTGGATGTAGTTATCCTCATTCTATGTAAACTACTTATTTTGACTTGGTGATATGTTTCAAATTCAGATGCTGGTAAATGGCACAGTCTCTTTGGAGATAACTTGGATTACAGGCAATGGGCACAAACTGAAACACAGAAAGTTCTGTCTGAAGACAAGAAAACACTTTTTTTCCTGTGAGGGTGATCAAGCACTGGCACAGGTTGCCCAGGCAGGTTGTGGAGTCTCCATCCTTGGAGGTCTTCAAAAGCCCTCTGGGCATGGTCCTGAGCAACCAGCTTTAAGTGACCCTGCTTGTGCAGAGGGGTTGGACAACATGACCTGCAGAGGTCCCTTCCAACCTCATTCTGTGATTCTGTGAACTTCTGTCCTTTTGAAAGCTCTGTACCACAGTAAAATATTGGTGTGTTAATGTCATTATGTCACTGCATCTCTAGCTGTGCCTCTCAGGCTGTGGAATGTACAGATGAGAATTTCTGTGTGCTGTTTGTTGGCTAAGCAAACAACAGACTTCCAATGATCAGAGTTTATTTTTTCTAAATCATTTAGCCAAGTAATTTATTCTTAACTTCAAAGTCAATTCAGATTAATTTTTCTGCTTTCCACACCTGACTGGTAGATACTAAGTCAGTATCTTAGGGTTAAGGCTTTTTTGCTTTGATTGGCTTTATGGTTGTGAATTAATCCAAGATGTGCATTAATCCTATGACCTGGAGACGTCAAGGCTATGGATTTTCTTCGTACTTTCTTGGCTCACACAGTGAAACGGGGAGAAAGCTGATGAATTTGTAATGAGAAGAGACATATTTATGACCCTGTACATGAGGAGCCAAGAAAGCAAAATAGGAAGGCATTTTAAGATCACAAACTTTTGGAAATATAAAAAGGTTCAAGAAGTTTGACATTTGCACTCTGAAATACTGTATAAGCATTAGAACACACAGAGTACAACCTGAAATGTGCTTTCCTGTGTGTCTTTTTGTATCAAATATGTCAGTGATCAGTTGGGTTTTTTGTGGTTTTTTTTGTCTGTAACAGGTTTTTAGTAGCATAGATCGAGTCACTCAAACGCAAGGTGAAGAAAAGGAAGATCCAGGGGACAAAACAAAAAGTGTAACATTGCCTTCTGTGGAATCTTTAAGCTGGAGTTCAGAATATTCTGAAATGTAAGTAGAAGGAGGTGCTGGAAGTGGTCCACGTCCTGCTTGCCAGGTAGCAGGCCTCCTCATCTCAGTAACTGCATGAGAGTTTGCTTATTTTTAATGCAGACAACAAATATCTACATCCATCTCCTCCGACACTGAGAGTAGCAGGCAGCGACTCAGTTCTGGTTTGCTTCCGAAGCTGGCCATATCAGCTGAAGGAGGACAGAATGATTCCACCAGACGCCAGTAGGAGCAGAGTGGACATGCTCAGGAAATACTTTGGAAGGTAAATTGGCAGGAAATAATGGAAGAGGAATGCCTAATGAGCATACTTTTAGTCTTAACATAGCATCCAGCAGTGATTTTCAAAAGCTTTCTATTTAAAAGTTTCTTTAACCTACTTTAGGAACTGTTTAAAGGTATTTGGAAAGTCTGTGTTTGTATCTTGTTTGTCCTGGGTTATGCTTTAAGGAATCAGTGCTTTTTATGCTGGCTCTGCAGTACTACATATGTATCGTATCTGTGATAGCATGAAAAAGCAGAGACAGGAATTGTGGATGTAGTTATCCTCATTCTATGTAAACTACTTATTTTGACTTGGTGATATGTTTCAAATTCAGATGCTGGTAAATGGCACAGTCTCTTTGGAGATAACTTGGATTACAGGCAATGGGCACAAACTGAAACACAGAAAGTTCTGTCTGAAGACAAGAAAACACTTTTTTTCCTGTGAGGGTGATCAAGCACTGGCACAGGTTGCCCAGGCAGGTTGTGGAGTCTCCATCCTTGGAGGTCTTCAAAAGCCCTCTGGGCATGGTCCTGAGCAACCAGCTTTAAGTGACCCTGCTTGTGCAGAGGGGTTGGACAACATGACCTGCAGAGGTCCCTTCCAACCTCATTCTGTGATTCTGTGAACTTCTGTCCTTTTGAAAGCTCTGTACCACAGTAATAGATTGGTGTGTTAATGTCATTATGTCACTGCATCTCTAGCTGTGCCTCTCAGGCTGTGGAATGTACAGATGAGAATTTCTGTGTGCTGTTTGTTGGCTAAGCAAACAACAGACTTCCAATGATCAGAGTTTATTTTTTCTAAATCATTTAGCCAAGTAATTTATTCTTAACTTCAAAGTCAATTCAGATTAATTTTTCTGCTTTCCACACCTGACTGGTAGATACTAAGTCAGTATCTTAGGGTTAAGGCTTTTTTGCTTTGATTGGCTTTATGGTTGTGAATTAATCCAAGATGTGCATTAATCCTATGACCTGGAGACGTCAAGGCTATGGATTTTCTTCGTACTTTCTTGGCTCACACAGTGAAACGGGGAGAAAGCTGATGAATTTGTAATGAGAAGAGACATATTTATGACCCTGTACATGAGGAGCCAAGAAAGCAAAATAGGAAGGCATTTTAAGATCACAAACTTTTGGAAATATAAAAAGGTTCAAGAAGTTTGACATTTGCACTCTGAAATACTGTATAAGCATTAGAACACACAGAGTACAACCTGAAATGTGCTTTCCTGTGTGTCTTTTTGTATCAAATATGTCAGTGATCAGTTGGGTTTTTTGTGGTTTTTTTTGTCTGTAACAGGTTTTTAGTAGCATAGATCGAGTCACTCAAACGCAAGGTGAAGAAAAGGAAGATCCAGGGGACAAAACAAAAAGTGTAACATTGCCTTCTGTGGAATCTTTAAGCTGGAGTTCAGAATATTCTGAAATGTAAGTAGAAGGAGGTGCTGGAAGTGGTCCACGTCCTGCTTGCCAGGTAGCAGGCCTCCTCATCTCAGTAACTGCATGAGAGTTTGCTTATTTTTAATGCAGACAACAAATATCTACATCCATCTCCTCCGACACTGAGAGTAGCAGGCAGCGACTCAGTTCTGGTTTGCTTCCGAATCTGGCCATATCAGCTGAAGGAGAACAGAATGATTCCACCAGCTTAGTGGGACCACGGGAGGAACAAGAAAAGCCTGCGTTAGTGAGCGAGGAAATAGTGCAAGAAAACCCTGAAGTAACCACTCCAGCAAGTACGATCAGCAGCTCCACGCTATCAGGTAGTTGACAGTGTGTCTCTTGACTGATGACATTAGAAGGAGTTGTGGACCTTCTTTGTTTAGCAGTAGCATTCATGGATTTAGAAGTCCTGTATTTCGGAACTGCTTCAAAAAAAAGACATCCCAAGAGGGGTCTGCTTTGGGTTCAGGCTCAAGCTAAAAAAAAATCTCATGAAAATATGTATGGGAAAAGTTCAACATTTTTAGAAATACCAATGTTTTATGTCACCCCACTGACTCTGGAGGGCTGCTAGGTGAGTGAATAAAACGGTGACTTGACCATAAAGCCTTTGCAGGATCCTTCTGTGGAGAAAAGGAATCTTAGATCCCTTGAGCACTTAAAGCACTATTTTTATATCTTCCCTCGCTGAAGTTGGTCATCTTTTGATTGACCATCCTGGAGTCATTCCAACTGATCTGTATTGCTGTTTTGTAACACTCTGTTCTGCATCATTGGGTGCTTTTAATTAAGACGTCGCAATGATGTACGCCTTTCAGAATTGGCAGGGTTGTCTTTGACTTGCAGAAGTCACTTTTGTCATATTAGATCTAGGAGGGAGTGTTGTAAACCATTCCCTACTTAAATAATTTATTTCCTTTACGCATCCCTCTCCCAGCTCAAGTATTTGCATGCATTTCAGTAGGATCCAGGGCCCTGGTATCTTGCTGGTTTTGTACTTTCAGAAGAGAGTTTTGTATAACTGTTGGAAGACCTGATACTTAACACAAATCTAGGCCTATATCTGTCTCATGATTGTCTGTATATAGCTTCCAATTACCTTCTCTACACATTGACCTGTCTTCAGCTTATTTCTCTTTTCTAGCTCACTGAGTTTTCTCAAGATAACCCTTTCTATTCCCATACCCCTAATTTCCCTTGTAGTCCACATTTTCCTCACCCTTTCTCCTCTCCATTTCTGAGAAAATAAATTTCCTCAGGCTCATCCAGCTGTACAACCGTTTCCATCTCCTTCCGTTGTCTAAAACCTTGACTGTGCCGTATCCCAAGTCTTGCTCACTCCCCCCAGCCCTGTGTTATGGTGTTGGCATTAGCATAGCAGTCACAGTAATAACTCAAAGCATCTGATCGTCTTCTGTCACTTATCAGTTACACTTAAGAGTAATTTCATTTTTCTGTGGTCCATTAGCAACAGGATATTCAGTGACCTTAAAGGAATACTAGAAATTACTGCTATGTCTTTAAACAGGCAACCTACCCTTGGTGCATGTTTCATAAGGTCATACAACTTTCCTGTGATATCTTTGAATTTTTAAGAAATCCTGTGCAGGTTGTTCACATGACACAAGGCCTTTATGGTTTTTTTTCACTGTTTGAAACATTGTTGTCTTTCCTTGGTTCAGTATTGTGGAAGTTCATTACCTGTGATAGACTAATACCAATGTGGTTGAAATACTGAGTTTAGTGGTGCCAGGTATCTTTCTCCTGTGTGGTAGAAAACCACACAAAGAATAAAAGCAAAAGATAATAATTAAAAATAAAATTATACTTAGTGTTTTAATGATTTTGGAAAAATTGTTAAGCTGATAGCAACTTACATAGGATTGGAGCCTTTCATTTATTTCAGGAGGAGTTCACATGAAAAATAAATGTCTGATTAAGTTCTCTAAGGTGAGTGCTGCATATTGAGATACCAGACTTGCTTTAGCTTTTGTCTCTTACTTTGCTTTAGTCAGTGACTACAAAAAACGTTCTGTTAATGTTTATGCATTCTGTAAGTCTGGAAGAATTACTCATATTTCTGTAATGTTGTTTTATGAACTTGTTAACAGAAAGAAAAATTCCTATCTCACAATTGTACTGTTTCCCCTCCCTGACCCCCAGTTTTCCCTCAATGTGTTTATCCCTTCTTCTTTGTACAGTTGGCAGTTTTTCAGAGCACTTAGATCAGATAAATGGAAGAAGTGAGAGTGTGGACAGTACAGACAACTCCTCAAAGCCACGCAGTGAAGTTGCATCTCACATGGCTCGTCAGCGATTAGAAAGCACAGAGAAAAAGAAGATCTCTGGGAAAGTTACAAAGTCCCTTTCTGCAAGTGCTTTGTCCCTCATGATCCCAGGAGGTAGAGATAAATCTTTTTGTTTGAAATGTTATGATTTATGCATACTTGATGGTTTATGACATAAATGCAAGATTTTGGAGAGTCCAGAATGGATTCTGTGTCACACTTTTTTGTTTTTCTTGTTGTTCACATGTGTTACTAGATGGTGCAATCTCACCAGTGAGTTACAGTGGTCACATTACAGCTAAGGGACCTTCTGTGACAGGCAAAAATGTAGCTTAGTGGTGACTACTTTTATGTTCAACTGTGTGCATGCACAGCAGGATGCAGGCTTCAGTCCTTGGCCCATCCTACAGTAGGGGCGTAGCTTAAGTTTTAAGTAGCTCTCCGATGTACAGCTCCAAGAATAGCTGTTTGTTACAGCAGCACATTCAGCCTGACTAGTTCTCTCCCATCTCTCATAAGGAAAGGTGATAAGCCGTAAAGAAGTGTCACAAAAGTAGAAATAGCATGTGGGCTCCTGTTTGTGCTACCGTGGCTTACAGGGACTGCTCAAAATTTGAAGTCGGAAATATTGTTACAAGTAAGTAGAAGTATAACAGTAGTATTGAGTGTTTCCAGATGAAGCATTAGTGCTTTGCTTTTTAATGGTTCAGAATCAAAGTCCAAATTTCCCAAACCTTGAGGGATTTTTTCCAAAAGTGGGATTACGTCTCAACTTTGCACACTGGCCAAATGCTGCTTTTAGACCTTAGGTGTAATACTTAAGTATCTCCTGGTCTGATAACATAACATTGCACTTGCTCCATATGTTCAAAGGTAGCTTTGACAGTAACTTCAGCAGGTTGCTTTGAGTCCTCAGGCTAGTGGAGGATTGTACGGTGTTGAAGAATTGGTTCTGGCTCTCCTCTTAGACTTCACCTGTCTTTGGGTTGTAAAGCACATGTGCCCTGTGTGCTCCTTAATACCTTGATGAGCAAACACTGTGCTGTTGTGCACATGTGTTTTGGAGACCTTGGAGAGGTGAAAGGCCCATCTGATCCCTGTTACTGCAGGAATTTCTGATTCACCTCATGTTTTCTACCCTTCTACACCGTACAGTTCAAAGAACAGCATAGGCTTCCTATGCAGCACCTGTAATTCCAGCAGCCAATCATGAGGATTTTTTTTATGAGGTAAGTCAAGAGGATAATGTTGAATCTCAGTTAAAGAGGAGTATTTTGCCCCTGCTTGAATGAGGACAACTAGGTGACGATGAAAAGAATACTTCGCATTTCTGTGATGCTGTCTGAATATGAGTGATGGTTCTCACAAAATGCATGAGAGAGATGAAGATTACTTTATTTTTACAGTGAGAAAGATAGTGACCGTGTGCTCAGCCTGTTCAGGGCAGTGTTGACAGGGAAAACTGCAGGTGGCTTGCAAATACTCTGGGCTTTTTCCTTGTGTAGACTCTTTCTTCCAAATAATATTTCTCTCCCAAATGCTCTAAGTGGTTTTTTTTGGTATACCCCTCTGACAGTTAGCACCATGGTTATTTTTTCCACTTGTAGAGGGCCTGTAGTGCATGCTAATTATTGAGATAAGCTATCACAGGAGCATGATATATGTGCAGGTAATTACACAGCCAAGTAACACTCAAGAGTTATTAATCAGTTTGTATTCTACTAGTTCTTTCACAGCTGTCGAGTAAGAACCACTAAGTTCAGAAATTATATAGACTGAGTTACTGTGCTCATTAAACTACAGTTTTCTTTCAGTTTAATCTCAGCATCATTCTATAAAATGCAAACTTAGCTTTGCCTACACCTAAAAATGTTGTCATTATATCAACCAAAATCTTACATGTTAGCTGTACGTAATACTGTCCAAAAAAACCTACCTTATTCATGGTTATTCATAAAAGAAACTACAGCAACAGATGGCCAGTGTTCCTGACCTGAGTCATGTAGCTGAGAGCCACAGGATGTGTCCCAAACGCAGCAGAAGGCAGAGGGTGGGGGATCTGGGCATGTTTCAGAGCCGGAGGGTGACGGTGACAGCCCCCTTGGGGCTTGGCTGTTCTGTGGGATTTCAGCATTAATGCAGTGATACTGATCTCTGGGAGCCTCTGGTGACTTGCATCCAGGGAGTAGTGCCTCTGCTGTCAAAGTGTATCTGCCCTCGCGTGACATGGATTGGCATGGACACCAAACCTGGAATCTTTCTGGGCTACATTCCTTTGCAGAGCTGTCACCATGTTACAGTCACCGAAGTGTGTTCTATGCTGCTGCAATTGTGTTTACATTTGCACAAGCTTGAGCACATAGGGCTTTCAAAACAATGAAATAAAATGAAGCTGTAATTGATACTGTTTTTGCAAGAAATGCTTGTGGTCTTACGTGATGTAGCAAAATGTAGAAATGGAGGCTTGGTATGAGTAATGAGTTACTGTCCTATGTACCAACTAGATATTGTGGTTTAATTACAGTAGTCTTTATCTGTATCTATATATAACTGAAACCAAAAAAACAACTAGCACTTTGTTTAGCACTGCTGGATGATTTGGGGAATGATTTTGGGTGTACTCACAACCACATCTTCTACCGAACTCTGACTTCCTTTTCATGAGTGTTTGTTAGGAAGAGGCTGAGAATTGTTCTTTCAAAGTTAGCAATGAGTGTGTTTCCTATCTAAAAGGAAAAAGCAGTCTACATCTAGCAAGTTAACCCTTGCATTAAAAAATACAGTTTATGCTACAAGGAAAGAAATTCAGTTCTAAGATCTGGTTGTTGGTTAAACTTCTCATTCACTGAGATACACACTGATTGAGGAGGAGAGAGTGTTTATGCAAAGACAATGATATATTTTGACACAAAGGTGTCATAAAACTAAGCAAATTCCCTCTTCTGTGTCCGTATTTGTGTGTGCTCAGAATGTACTCTAATAGGCAGATTTTTATCTTCCAGATGTGTTTGGTGTTTCTCCTTTGGGAAGTCCTATGTCTCCTCATTCCCTATCATCTGATCCTTCATCCTCCCGAGATTCATCTCCCAGCCGTGATTCATCAGTTGCTGCTGCAAGTCCTCATCAACCAATAGTAATTCACAGTTCAGGAAAAAAGTATGGCTTTACCATCCGAGCAATCAGGGTTTACGTGGGTGACAGCGATATCTACACTGTGCACCATATTGTTTGGGTAAGATAATACCTTTTTTTTGCTTATAAACAGCTACAGAAAACTGCAGTGGTGTATTTGCTTTTGATTTTTGTACATATGGTATCTGTTGACAGTTAGTGTGTAAATCGTGATGTTGTGCCAAACATTTTTCTTCCGTAGGGATGACACAAACCACCTTTGGCAGAAGTGGTACCTACATACAATATTGACCTTCTGCATGGATCACGTTCACTTTTGGCCAGTTTGGCCATTGTGAACAGCCATGTCTAAGTTCAGAATACTGTGGCTTAGAAAACCAAAGGATTGGTGCAGCCCATCTTTGAGGACAGGATCTGCAAAACGAAGAGACTGTAAACAGAAATTGTTGAAATATACATGAAGTTTTATTAAACTGGGGATTAATGAAAGTCAATGTTATTTTACTAGACACAAGTAGGCTGATTTCAAGCACTGACTTTCTTTTGTGTAGAAATGTGCAAATCATTTGGAATTTTGAGTACCTTTGAGGATTCTATGGCACAGGAAAAAGACTGACTGTCTTGAATAAATCATGTATTTTTCATCCTCTGTTCACTACTGATTTGAATGAAGTGGGAGACAGGCTAAAGGAAGACAGCAGTTCTTGCATTTTGTTGGTTATCAACCTCCTTAGTTGTAAAATAAATATATATTTATGCAAATATATATTTATTTATTTTATAATTGAGGTTGATAACAAATTATGTATTTTATATCTTATATATTATACATACATAGATATTGTGTGTGTATAAACTAAAATATTTCAACTACCTTAAAATAATTTTGAAAAATTAATTACAAATACATCAAAAGCTTTGGAGTTTTGTACAGTGCTTTGTTTTAAATATGTATTGTAGGTTTTGAAGTAGCAGTGCTACTGATGCAGTAGTGTATTACTCATTTTTCATTTGTGGTGTTTACCTCTCAGACCTATGAATCTATCAAGAACATTGAATCTGGAGAATGGGGTACATTTGATTGATAATAGAATAAATAAAAAAATTTGATTCCTTGCCACTGGTGTAGCATCACATCAGTGAAACGAAGGGAAGAAAATGGTACATTGCAGTAAAAGTGAAACCTTGGCTTTTTTCAAAATACTATAGGTTTGTTGGGTTTTTTTAGCTCTGTAAGCACCGTAGGCTTCAGTAGTGGCTACGTGACTTAAAATTCTTCAAAAGCTCATTTTAAAATGTAATAAATTATTTAAGCTACCTTCAAAATAATTTGCAATTCAGTTTGTTTTGGTCCTTCGTCACCTTTGTGCTGCACTGTTTCCTCTAAGGGACAGCCTGGTGAATTTGAACCAAATGCAAACAATCCTTAACTATATTGTGGAGTTAATTTTATCATGATGGGGGTACTGCATGTGACCACTGCCTTAATTATATCCGTATTTCTCAGCGTCGGATGCTAAAAATCTTCATTCAATTCTGAAATTTTGCCATGGGGAGTGAATCACTCCTCCTTTATCATGCATGAAAACTGCCCCGCTGTGCAGTGCTTACTTAATACCAGTGGCAACAAGCAGTGTTTCAGTGAGCTTTGAAACCGTTCCAGATCCCATGTAAGTATAAAGTTTGAGTAAGTAGTTGATAGTGAAATGGCTGGTCTGATTTTTCTTCTTCCTTTATGTAACTTAATATCTGTAAGTTTTCTTCATTGCCAACTGGTTTAATAGAAGGAGTTCATTAAACAAAGCCTACTTTTGAAAGTGTGAAGGTTAAAGAGGAGTCCATTTTGTGTATACTCTCTTGGTTTCTGATTTCCAGAATGTGGAAGAAGGAGGTGCGGCTTACCAAGCGGGTTTAAAAGCTGGAGACCTGATTACTCATATCAATGGAGAGCCAGTGCACGGTCTTGTTCATACGGAAGTCATTGAGTTGTTGTTAAAGGTAACTCTTGGACAACTGGAATACAAAAGCGCTTGCTGTTTTTACCAAGGATTGAAGGGTTATGTTTGTTTCCTTCAGAGATTACTTATCAGATTTTGTGGTTGTTCAAGTACAAACTGTAAGCTGCTCTTTCACAGATCTGGACAAAGGTCAATGACTTCATATATCCTGCTATGATTTAGTTTCTCTGCAATAAACTGGCACTGCTGCTGAGATAGCTGATGTACATTCGAGGCACTGACATGAGGAGATGTCTCTGTCACTCAAAAAATTTGACATTTTCAAGCACTTTATTGAATTTCCCCATCTTCGTCAGCTAATTCAGGCTTTTGATGGTGATGCTACTTCTCATTTTCTCGTTTTAAAGTGAAATTAATGACGAAAAGTGGAAACAGAGCGTGAAATATTTTCTTGCCTACTGTACAGGAACTTGCCTGTCATAATTTTTAAGGCCCAAAAGGTTTTTGTTTCGTATATAGCCAGGCATGTCACACAGAGCTGCTTTGCTTAATGAAGTTCTGATCCTGCAGTTGGATTTTTATGAATAATCTATCACATTTTTCTCTTATGGAGTTTTCCGAGATCTATCCTAGTAGAAAATTATAGTTTTTCCTTAAAAATAAACAAACAAAACCCCCAACTTTTTTAGTGAATGGTAGTGTCTTAGCTTTTCACTGTAGCTCATCATATTGCAGTTTTTATGTAATCTTTTCAGCACAGAATAATGTTGGTCAGAATTCTTTTAGACAGCTGTATATTCACTTCCTATATTATTAACAATTTATGGTGTTACATGCAGAGCTTTGCCTATCAAAGGGAGTGGTCAGTTATAAAAGAAGATTGGAACGCAATGAAGTAATGGGGAAATACAAAGACCTGAGGAAAGATGCAAAACACGCTTTTCCTTAAGTCTTTATTTTCCTTCTCTGAAACCAGGAGGAATTTCCAAGTTTCCAATTTTGCAAGAAATACATAAGAGAAAATTCTGTAATTTTAGGCAACTGGGCAACTGGGTCTGCAGTTGTTTTGTGTGTCAGATACAGAAAAAGGGAAACATGACAACCCTGCACACTACTTACAAGAGTAAACTCCAAACAAGAGATTGTTGTTTATCCTAAAGTGCTGTATCATAAATTCATTTGGGCTATTGGAATTCCTTTGAACAGAAGTTCTCTGTAGTGGTATACAGTGCTGGGCAGGAGGTATGGATTTTTAAAAAATAATATAGATATTTCCACTTGGTTTTATTTATTGAGTCGTCTTCACGTTCATGCAAACGATCCTAAAAAGCTTAACTTAATTATATTTGTTACCTCTTTTGAACAAGATAAAAGGATTGTTTGGGATTGATAATGAAGGTTAAGTTTTCTCTTCCATTTCATCATTGTAACAGTTGGTATCTTGAGACGTGAATGGCCAGTGAATGGACCACTTTCTCTGTGGGAAAATACAATACTTTTGTAGAAGCTTTCATCTTGAAAATTGCAGTCTTGATCAATCCTTGGTCTCCTCCCGTCTAGCTACAATTATTGGAATTTCTCCTTGTCCCAAAGCTGGAATGGAGGAAGCTTAGGAAATTTGGCAGAATTTGAGAATTTTCCAGTCATCGTTTATCTGACATAAATTAGCCTGGCAATGTCTGCATAGGGCTTCCTACACTGCCAGCTCTTACTCTGATGCTGGAGTTCTGTCTCATTGTGTTTGCATTTGTGGTGTAGCTTCAATTTAAGGCAAAGTCGTCTTGTATTACTCACACCTGAAAGTTCCTCCTCCATTTTGGCAGAGTGGTAACAAAGTCTCAGTAACAACAACCCCTTTTGAAAACACTTCCATCAAGACAGGACCTGCCAGGCGAAACAGCTACAGGAGCCGAATGGTCAGGCGCAGTAAGAAAACCAAGAAGAAAGAGAGTTTAGAGAGGTGAGTAATCCTTTTGTTTCATGGCAAATGTGTTTCCTTGTGTGTGTGTATACATAACAATTAATTTAAAATCTGAAGTTAATACAGTTCTCTCTCGTCTGCTACATCTTTTTGCCTTCTTCTCTGTGATCCTGTGGTTGTAACACGTCCTTTCAATCCTGTTTTGCCTAAACTAGATCCGTTAAAATAATCCCTAAAAATTTTGCATGGCACACACATAGCTATGGGAAAGAAAGTGAATAACTGAGGCTGCATCTTAATTTGGTTTAAGTATATCTTTTTGTACTTGGTTAATTAAACTTTCTACTGCTAAGTTTATGGGCATTTTTAGTTCGATAATAAGTTCATGTGTATTTTGTAAATACATTGCTAGCACTTTATAGATACTCCTCCAGTTTTGGTGGGCTCTTAAATTAAGAAAATGAAGATTTATACTCATAAGAAGCTAACTATTCTTCTGAAATACAGTGAGTAAATTTCCGTACAAATAGATTTAGTTACAATATCTATCCCACCTATTAGCAAAAAAAAAAAAAAATTTTCACGCTCTGCAGCGTGGTTGGCTTTCATGTAAACATAGATTTAATATTTGCTTTTCTGAGAGTAATGGGAGAAGGAAGCAATGTCAGCTTGCAAGAGTTTTGCCTGTGGTAATAGTATCTTCTGTGAATCTTAACTTCTGATTAATGCTGTGCTCTTCTCACACTAGGAGAAGATCTCTCTTCAAAAAGCTGGCCAAGCAACCCTCCCCTCTTCTTCACACCAGCAGAAGTTTCTCCTGCCTGAACCGATCACTTTCATCAGGGGAGAGCTTGCCTGGGTCTCCAACCCACAGCTTATCTCCTAGATCACCTACCCCAAGCTACCGCTCTACTCCTGATTTTCCATCTGGTGAGTGTGAAAGAGTGGAGGGCAGAGGAAAAGGACTTGGAATTGTATTCTACTTCTTGTGAGCCCCCCAGACCTGTTACACTCTTGCCAAGAGTAGTCAGCTCTGACAAGCATAACCAGTGAACCTGTCTTGAAAAAGGCAAGAAGATTCCTGATGCAAAATCAAAGGTGTTCTCATGATACAGAAGCACCTAAAAGGGAACTGTCTGCTAGGTTTGTCCCAGAGTTTAAATCCAAGTCCAATGGCTATAAGTTGAGTAATAAGCAGTTCAAGTTTGGAGTAAAAGATAGAATCTTGCCTAGGAGAGGCTGATTGATAAAAGAATGAAACTGAGAAAAAAGTTGCACATAATGGAACTAGCACGGGCACTCATGAGTGCAGATTTATTGCCGAAATCATTGGCTGGGTGCTGAAACATGCATCTTCCTGGCTTCTAAAAGCCTGCGCCTTTTTCCTGTTTTACTTCTGTCATGATTTTAGTGTGTGCTAAAGTGACTGCTGTTGTACAATCCCTTGGCAAAGGTAAATTATTTGGAAAGCCTTGATCATTGCTTTGAAGTGGTAGAAAGCATTAGCTATTCTATTTAAACAGAAGGAAGTGATAATTTAAAGGGGATAAAGGAACAGAGGGGGAAAGGAAGAAATAGCAACGTAATTGGAATAATGAGGGTTTTACAGCCCAGTCACTCAAAACCTTCCAAATTTTGGAACGTTGTGGCAGCAGATGGCACGCAAGCCTTTTGGACCAGTTAAAGTTCTGTCTCTCACTGAACATGGAGACAAGATTCAAAAAATCTTGCTCACCTTGTGTTTGTTTGTTCTTTTTGTAGGTACTAACTCTTCCCAAAGTAGCTCCCCCAGTTCAAGTGCTCCCAATTCTCCAGCTGGTTCAGGACACATAAGACCCAGCACTCTTCATGGCTTGGGTCCAAAGCTTAGTGGGCAAAGATATAGATCAGGAAGACGCAAATCAGCTGGCAGCATTCCTCTCTCTCCTCTTGCACGGACACCTTCTCCAACACCCCAGCCAACATCCCCTCAGCGATCTCCATCACCATTG